GCCATGTCCTGCTCTGAGGAGCTGCAGTGCTGCCAGTCGGAGATCCTGGAGCTGAGATGCACAGTGAACGCCCTGGAGGTTGAGCGCCAAGCCCTGCACACGCTGGTATGTGTCCTCCCTCACCCTCACCACAGTGAGAATGCCTATACCATTGCCTGGCAGTATATTATTTTGTAAAGCAGGAGTGGCATCCATTTCCTAAATAACATGTCTCAGGAAACTCTATGAACTTTGATAAATGACAATAGTTGCAGAAGGGCTTCAGGCTTTTTGTTCATAGGGTCACTATGAGTCGTGCTTGATTTGAAGGCAATCAACACCACCACCACCACAATCCCACTATATAGGCCTTTACATCTCCATACTCATTGATTGGTCATATGTATTTTTTGAACTATGTGCCTTTGGGTTGGTAGTGCAACTCCTTACCACTAAGCCATCAGAGCTCCTTACAATTGGTCATATGTATTTTATTTTAAAAAATTATTTTATATTGGTTTACATACAAAGTTCACATGCACTGTGTTTCACACTATCCTTCTTTTAAATTGTGTTTCATACAATCATTCCCATGCATCATGCTTTATAAAATTATTCACCGTTGAACTATGCCTATGATTGGTCATATATTTTTATATTTTTGTCCAAATCAGGCAAACGAAAAATACCTTTTAAATAAGCCCCTCCTTTAGTAGTGTCAAAGCTTAGATCTTGACTGGGTAAAGATATTTGGAGTTCTATCTTCTTGTCAGCATCTCAACTAGAGAGATGAATAAGATGCAGCCAGGTTAGCTCTGGAGGCTGTGCGATTCTATTTTCAGCCTGATGTATTCAGAGCTCTTGGAAAGTCTCTATGATCTGCCTTATGCCTGATGAGCTTACTCACTGTGGCCGCCCTGGCCATCGTTCTCACGGCTAGATTGAGTCAAGTGGGAGTTTCCCTGGGTCTCTTACACCTCCCCTTTCCCCTGTAGAAAGACTGTCTGCAGAACTCCCTGTGCGAATCCGAGGCCCGCTTCGGCACGGAGCTGGCCCAGATGCAGAGCCTGATTAGCAATGTGGAGGAACAGCTGTCTGAGATCAGGGCCGACCTGGAGCGTCAGAACCAGGAGTACCAGGTGCTGCTGGATGTCAAGACCCGGCTGGAGGGGGA